CTTTCCCAGTTCTTTGGGATAAACTGTTTAGCAGTCTCTTTAGCTTAGGGATGATATGAAGTAGGAGATGTTTGAATACCACAGACACTTAAAATAGTTAGCAACACTTATTTTATAACGTGAATCCTGAAACCTGCCAAGAAGAACTTGTACAGATGTCTGTCCACCTCCATTATTACGTTCAGTTAAGTGCAGCTCTTTCCATAGCAACCAGAAACTTTTCAAGGCAGAAATAAACTAATCCTCTCCGGCTTGCTGGGCACCATCAAGGAATTTTAAAAACACTGGATTTCCTGGCAGCTAAATATTTGTGGGATTCAAAAGGCCATGGAGTCATATACCCACCCTCCTTTTTTCCATATTGACTGAAGGTAAGAATTCAGAATTGGGGAGGAATCTATTTTTTCAGTGTTAATCTCTTCGTATTATCTTAGAGCCTTAAAAAAAAAAAAAAACTACATTTAACCATCCCATGTGCTTTGCAATATCAACAGAGTGTTGACTTTCCATCCCCTGTTTGGCAGGCACTACTAGTTGCTTCTACTTTTATAGTCTTGTAGCGTAGGTTTATTATGAAATAAAATCTACTTTCTCTTATAGGAAACCAGATCTGCTGTTGTATAAATTGCATATGAATAGCACAAAGAGTTATACGCTTTATATGAGATACAAGAGAAAATTTGGTTTGGTCTGCACACATTTTGTTAACTCTGCATTTCCAAAACTAATATGAGAAGTGGTACCAGATACCTTTGAGTAGTTGTACTTTAAACATTTGTGATGCAGTTTTCTAAATAAAGGTTCATATATAAAGAGTAAGTACATATAAAAAAACACATTCTATCCAAGAATGATATTCACAAAAATATACTATTAGGCAAACTTCTGAGTCAAAATGGATAAATTAGGGGAAGTGCCAATAAATATTTGCACCCGCACACACATATACACATGCATGCATGCACATGCACACACACTTTTATACAGTTTTAATGATGCAAAAAAAAATTAGAAAATGAAATAATGCAACTGATTGGTACATGCATAACATAAAAATCATGTTGCTGGATCGGTCCAAGCTCCATCTTCAGCATTCATTTCTCACATTGGCTTACAAGATACATACATTTGGGTTCTTGGGCAAGCAGGAGGGGAGACTTGATATACAGATGGATTGTCTATATTGTTTCAAAACAAAAAAAAACCTGTCTTTTGATGTAGCAGGAATCTTGCATGGGGGAAGGCCTTTTGCTACATATGCTGGGTAGTATGTGGTATATGAAAATACAATTAGAAAAAATATTTTTTCGTCTGGTAAGTAGGTGTTTTATGACTGGTCATGTCCTCCACGACATCTGTATTGTTTTAAAACAAATATCTATGTGAATGCTATCCAAATTTCAAAAGGGGGCCTGGACCAAAAAAAAAAAAAAAAGGTTGCCTACAAAGCTTAGCAAAGGCTCCCTGTTTTCAAAGTGAACAAAGCAGAATTATATGCACATGTTAAAGGGAGGCTTATCTTTAGTTTAGTTACATCTAATCTGAACCACAGAAGCTCATATTCACACCATGAAGGGAAGATTTTCAAGCAGTCAGTCCTCAGACACATAAAGTGGCACAGAATATGAATGGTTCATCATGATCTTTTTTTTTTTTTTCCAAATTAAACATTGCAATTGGCTTTTTGAGTGGCAATTCTGGAACAGTCAAAACAAAGTAGACAACTGAGTTCAATTTTTTTTTTAAAAAAATTGTGGCAACTTTTAGTGTGGTTCTGGGGATCACACTCAATTTCTGGGGAAGCAACTTGTGACCATGGGCACCACAGACTTTGCATCCATGACGTAGACTGCAATACATGCCTTCACTGAGTTATCATTCTCTCCAACAGAGGTGGGCAACCTAACTCTGCTCTCCAAGCAGTCCATCTGTAGCCTATGAAGCATAGACTAAAAATAGCCAACATTTTTACCTATATTTGGAGATTGTGATTTTTGCTTTGGGGTATTTAAAGAGATACAACAAGTGTCTTCCCCTTCATGGATCACTGCCATGTTGTGGTGAAGGGGCTTGCATAACTCAATGAAGCCAGGAGCTATACCGTGCAGGGCCACCCAAGACGGGCAGGTCATTGCGGAAAGTTTTGACAAAACGTGGTCCACTGAAGAAGGAAATGGCAACCCACTCCAGTATCCTTGCCAAGAAAACCCCATG